CGCTCCGCGACTGGGAGCGCACGCGAAGTGCGGTCTTCGTCACGCGAATCGGCGCTCATAAAGGGATTTCGAAAGGTCTGCAACAGACACACGCACACAGACACACTGGCCCGTGTCTGCTCGGTCGTGTCTCATTTATCCGCTCGCTATCCGGGAATGATAGCCGCGTGCGTAATTTACGTACGGACGACTTGCACGCGCAATTTGCGCGCGTGGTCGCGAGAGCGTGTGTGTGTGTGTGTGTGTGTGTGCGTGCGTGCGTGTGTGTATATGCGAGCACGTAGATTCTCGCAGCGTCGAATCCGGTTAGATCATCGTCGGCCGTGGTCACGGCCCGTCTAGGTGGTCCTCGTGAAAAGGAAACTGCATAATATATGTACGCGCGGTTTATTGCGGCATACACGCGCGCACACACACACACACACACACACACACGCACGTGCGCACGCGGAGAGACCGAGACCGCGATTATGTTCACGGCACGGGTTCACCGACACGTGAGTTTATACGCGTTGCGTCCCCGCGTTCTCCTCGGCGCATAGCGTAGATTATAGCGAGGTAGCGAGATCGCGTCTGGCGATGGCAACAAGATGTCTCCGATGTAGCTGCGACGATGATAACAATAACAGTATAGGCGCGGAAAAAATGTAGAGACTGCCTCGAGGAATTTCTTCGTCGTGGTCTGCTCTGCTCTGTCGGAGACAAAAGTGAGTCATTTCGGAGTCGTTGTCGGTGTCCTTGATAAATATTAATTACGGTGTCTCTGCGGCTTTCGCGTTTCCCCTCTTTCGCGTTTTCATGAGACGCGTTTTCAAGATACGCGAATGTCGAAAGTAAAATGTCGATGCGGCTTCTGATTTCATTGAAAAAATGCGCATTGTCGACTCCGGCGTCGAACTCCGGCTCGTTGAATTTCGCCTGCTCGATCGAAATGATGTGTGTCGGCCGCGGCTTTTATACTCCGACAGATCGTCAGTCGATGGGAATTTGGACAATGTTTGATGTTAGGCGAATATTGCGAAAGTTTCTTGCGGGGGGACATTATTGCTTCGTTTTTCGAGGACGTGGCCGCGAGGTCGAGCGCGGTGCGTTCAACGTATACAAGTCTGAATCTTTCGTGCGTTAAGAAAAATCGTATATATATAATCACACACGTTCACGTACAGAGCCACATTAGAGATAAAAATCATATGTAATCATACATAATTATTCTTGGTCGGACGTTCTCTTTGTCTTAGAGCTGTGAATCATTAGCATGAGTTTATTACGGTGCGCGATGTATGCAAATACGCGATATACGCATGTGGAGGCACAAGTCTCGAAGAGGCTTCTCGTTTTCGGCGTGACGCGTTTCATCTGGATTCATCGAAAAGTGTAGCCTTTCTCGACCAGGTCGGCGGCGCACCGGACGGTCGGTGACGCCGGAGATATCCAGCTGATTCGCAACGTCTTCACCTACGTACGTACACACGTACGTCGTAGCCGCGCACTCTCCGCGTCGAGGTAAAGACGCCGTGGGAGGCGAAGAGAGTGCATTCGCGTGGGCCTGTATCCTGTGCGCCACGTCCATTTGTCCCCGTGTCCGTTTCGTTTGTCGACAGTAGTATGTATGCGCTGTCGGCCCAGAGATTATCTCTCCGGTCGAAATGGAGTTACCGTAAATCGTTCTTAACGTTACGACCTTTTGACCCCGCGGCCGGCCGCGAGCGCTTTCACTCTTCTTAATCAAAACAGCCGGCTCGTGATAACGCTCCGGATCGAAGCGAAAGCGAGAAAGAAGAATCAGCGGGTGGGTCGAAAAGTTCCGGAGTGTAAAAATGAAACTCGACAAAAACTCGAAGAAACTTGTCGTCGACGTGCGGATCCCGATAAAATTCGTCCAGCTTCTTTGTCTCAAGATTAAATCGGAGATGCCAAGTATTAATTGAAGAACTTGCGAGTTTGCGTCATTGAACTCACTGTTTCAGGAAACGGAAAAAGTGAAAGTTATAGCAAAGTAGAATCTTCTCTCTTGGAAAGTATATGCAAACTCATTATGATAACGTGTGTCGTAAGGAACGGGCAATGTTTACCTTAACGTGTATGCGTAAGCTCAATAAAATTGCGGGAGATAAAAAGCTGCGGGAGATATCTCGCACGTATCTCAGCTCGGTACTTTTCGTGTATTTACGAACTCCGCGCGAATCCCTATCGGATTCCGAATCGTCCGGTCTGAATCAGTTGGCGCAGAAAAGCGAAGCCAACTCGCGTTGGCTCGTGTCTGGAACTCGTCCGACGTGTTTGCCGACGTAATCGCCGTTGCGCGCCCGATATTATGCATGTATTGTTACATCCGCTTTCATCCGGCATTCCTTCGAGAAAGGGAGATTATTATTACATCCTACGGACACTCGAGGAGTATAAATGGAAGGAGGCGTGAGCCGCTATCGACCGATTTAGAGAACGAATCGCCGTAATGTCCCCTGTTATAAATCAAAAGCACTCGTTTCGCTCGTTATGCAGACGTGATTCTGCAATCCTTTGCAATCGACTATATCGATTAATGAAAACAATACGTAAAAAAGAAAAAAGAATACGATTATCCAACAAAGCGCATACCGAGTACAGTCCGTCTAGCTGATTTGGTATATTAAATCACGAATAAAGATACGCTTTCGCTCGTTGATCGTTATTCGATGTAAATCGAAATAAATTAATGCCTCGTTTTAGTTGATGATCCCAACAAAATTTCGCTAAAGTATCTTAATTTGCACCACGTTTCGATTGTATTTTAATTTAATTACATCCGTATGCACTTTTCTGCAAAAGATTCGAAAATATAAAGGAAGAAATAGCCTTTCAGAATTCAGGTTCAAAAAAATCAATAACAAGAGCCGATTAATACGCATCTTGTGATTGATTTGACGAAAACGACGATATGTATCTCCATTGAAACGCGGATCACGCAGTCTGTTGCGTGCTTTAACGCTTTAAATACGTCCCTACGACCGAGACGAAGAGACTTATCTATGGGGTTGATGACCAAGGGTGCACTTGGGTGTGGCCTGTTTCTAATAACACTAATAGGGGAGGCAAATATACGTTCGTAAGCGTCGTCGTTTGTTGACGATCCTGAAGTGATATCAACAGGAAGGAAAGATCGTATTACAAATTTGATAAATACATTCGGAGCGTATTTTTCCCTAAATAACTTATGTGGAACATCAAGTCTACATAAAAAGTATCAAAAGAATTGAGAATACGTGAGTGTAAGCAAGCGCCTTGAATAAGTGAAATGATTATATTGTCGACGACATAACGTTTATTATCGAGAAAATGCTACACCGCTTTTTTTTTTCTTTGGGATAATGTAAGAAAGTGCAGAACTTTAAACAGCATATATAAGTAATTAGTCACTAAATTACAATTGTACAATTTGTGTGTAAAAAAAAATTGTACATACTTTTTACAATATTTATGTTGCTTATCTCAGTTAAATAAACAGGACAAACTTATTTTCGTGAGCAACAATGCACGTTAATTACATACTGTTCTTTATTCTCATCTACTACCATCTCATCCAATATCATACGTATATCGTATCTGTAAAGATATTTCATATTTTGTTCAACAACATTTGTCGATATCTTACTGAACAATACCGTTTACGATAATAAGCAGCAGCAATTTTATGTATTTTTGTCATATGTTTCATGCACACAGTTGGTAGATATAATACTAGTTATACCGACATTTTCACTGCTTAAAAAGTTTTAAACGATATTGTCCAATATACAATTTTCTTGTGAATAGAATATCGATAAATATGGTTGACACATAATCCGGAATATCTTTACCGATCTACTAACACAACATGCCAAAAAACTACCGATTTCAACGGAGAATTGTAATATTTCCAGCTATAAAGGCATAAGCGCGCGATATTTTACTTCATACAAAAAGAATTCCGTCATCTTGTTGGATATTTCATTATCATGTGTCCTATGTGTAAAGTGATTCACAGAATATTCGAAACATTCAGATAGATTTACCATGCCTTCGAATTAAACTGGAAACACTACGTGCGAGGTCGTGATTAAAGAGTCATATCTATTATATATCAAAGACTTGTCAATTCTGCTTAGTATAAGACGTGAAAGAACTCGCGGTAATTACAGTACAGTATACAGAGCGCGAATCTAACGGTAAGTTTGCAAGAATTTCTTCTTTCTATAAATCACATTTAATATATGCTATAATAAAAATAATTATATAAATAATACACATAGAAGTTTGCGCAAAGGTCTTATGCACAGGCTGTTGTAAGTGCCTAAATATAATAACCTCAATTATGATAATGAGACGTAATTAGACTTAGTTGTATAATTATTTAATGTTGCAAACTAAAAGATGTTCCTAGTTTTATCGAAGAATAAGATAAACTGCATTGTTATTATTTAACAAATTGTTATCTCCTTCTTAATTGTACTACAAATGAAAACGTTTCATATATATATATATAACGTAGAAGAATATATATATATATATATATATATGTGTGTGTGTGTGTGTGTGTATATATATGTGTATATTTATATATAAACTCATTATCTATGAAACCAGTGTATTTCAACTTATGATTCATAATTCTTTCTATTACTTCCCAGTTTCTTATTAACATAAAAAAAGTTGCTTACATTAGACAATATAAAATATTTCTTACATAAACGAATTTATCACTTCCTTCTCGATATTTTTCATTTACATTGAAACTTTAGAATGGTCTCTAGATCGAGATATGACGGAAAGCATTTATTTACATTGCAGCCTCGTATTATTCTTCTTAGTTTCACCTTTGTTAAACTACTTTTAACAGAATTGATGTTAGTTCCACTTGTTACAGTGTAAGTCGTGACGAGTTCTACTTTTCATTTTAAATAAACTTATTATTTAAAAATATTATGCCATGACATCTTATTAAATATATATCTCCTTATTATTACTACGTATTAATATATGCAATATGACTTAATTTATTTGTTAATGTCATTTGTAGATTTTATAGTTCTCAGTGATGATAACATAAACATACTTTACATTGTCATAATTGTACATTTTTTTTTGCTTGATATTCCGTTAAACCACAAAACTACAATATTTTTATAAATTATTACATGTACCTAATGCACTAATGGCAAAAGAAGTTCTTGTACCATGTAAAATGGCCCAATGTGTTCTAAAAAAAGTTTCACTGAGAGCTATGCAAACTATTTCTACATAATAAGCATCGCACTCAGTATTTTTTTTTTTCTGTACACAGCATGTAGTTTCTCTGTCTTTCTCTCTCGATCTTTTAATAATTTTCTTCCTTATATTAATACGTACACTTACACTGGGAGGAAAGTAAAACATTAGACTATAAAGTAGGTACATTTTTCCTCTTACAATTGTTATTACGAAATTGTTTGTAACATATTTATATTACTACCATCTTCCTCCTCTTCTTCCTCTTCCTAAAAGAAAAGAAACAATAGATGTATATATCATATGTATCTATTTGAACAAGTCTTATGTTTTATCCAATGTAAGCATCTAATCATTCTATTTTCTCTATTCATTTTCTAATCATACATCATTTAAACGAAACATAAAGCATTACTCACATCATCAAAACCGAAACAAGTTTCCATTTCTTTTTGCAACTTTGGATCACTTTGTGTATTCTGTGCTGAAGATTTATTCGTAACGGATTCTATCTTCATATCCTGGATTTCTACTACATCTTCCTCTTCTATCTCGTCAACCTCCTCTGTCCCTGTTACTATACTATTTTCTTGACTCAAAGGATCTTGCATTACCAATTCCCCGTCCTCACTTGCGACCACAGCCATCTGTTAGAAACAATCAAGTAAATAAAATCAGCGCGTAATTTATTTAGCTGCATGCCAGACAAAAGACAAATGAATCCCACATTATCGCTCACTTGATCAGTTCCTTGATTGTCCGCCAACTGAATGACTTCTAGCACGACATATTGTTGGCCATCACTACCTTGGACTGCCATCATGGTATCTTCTTCATCCTCTTCCTCTTCTTCATCTTCATAACCTTTAAATTTAGAAGTTAAATCACCTGTTGTCATAACATACAACACATGGATATTAGTCAATGATCTGCATTTAGATCATATCGTAAGTGTCCCTGAGTGAGTGTAAACGTTTATACATATTTCCATATATTATCTTCCGCATATAAACACATAACGACAAGGTGAAGTAATATAAAGAAATCACTTTGTATTCATAATGAGAAATTATTCGTAAACGATATAAAAATGAGTACCAGACTCGATGCAGAATTATCGTATTATTATTGTGATTTCTTTAAAACTACTTGGTTTTTGAGCACTTAATGTTGTCATTACCTGTCATTACTTCGACACGCTGACCGTCGATGATCTGAATCTTTTTCTGTCTACCAATCTTAAGAGCTTGCTGTTTTTCTTGTAACGATGATTCGGGATCGTGAACGGCCATATGTCGTATAAGATTTCCTTTATGTCTGCATGTAACAACAAAAAATTTCATATTTTACCGGGAGAAATTATGACGTGGTGGTCAATTTTACCGAGCGTAACTATTTCAAATAACTAATCTCGTATATCTACCTAAACGCTCTTATACATTCGGGACATTGGTGTGTTTTCTCCTGCGGTGGTGGAGGGACATAAGTGGGATTATGATAGAGGTTACAATGCCGTTTGAGTAACTGTTTCTGCCTGAATGACTGGAAGCAATGGTCACATTGGTACGGTTTCTGGTCTGTATGAATGAGAATATGACTTTCCAAGTGACGTGCGGATATCGATGCGTACGGACATAGATCGCACTTGTAACACTTTTCCCCTTCGTGAGTTTTACTGTGCAATTTATAACTATATCTGCAATACAATTAACACACATAAGGAAATGTAGAGTTTAACATGCGAGTACTTTTAATTTTTACACCCAAATTATACCCTATCGAATTCATACCCGACCATTGTGACATATTTACTATAAATTTATTATAAATTTAGAGAAATTACTTATTTACCTATCTGGGAATGTTTTTCCGCAACGCTTGCATTTCAAAGGTTTGTCAGAAGTGTGCAACTTTTGCACGTGAATTCTGAGATCTGTTTTTCTTCCACACGTGGCTGGACATAATTCACATTGAAATACTGGTTTATCGCCTACTAAAACATACATTAAGCCCATGCCAAGTTCAAGTATGGCAAAAGAATTACAAAAAATAGAATTTTACGCACTGCCATAAAATTTTACGTTAAATTAAAAAAAAAAAAATCTGTTATCGAAATGCGTCAAAAATACTGATTTAGAAAAATATGAAATTGGGCGTCCTAATAAAGTTTTTTCTCTGCTATTATATATATGCACGTTATCCATCTATTATTTGTAACTTACCATTGTGTATTAATTTGTGTGCTTTTAAGCTGTTGGATTGAGTAAATCTCGCCGGACACATATCACATTCGTACGGTTTCTCTCCGGTATGAATGCGAAGATGACGTTTCAATTTAAACGTATCTGGACTGGCATATGTACAATGTGGACACTGGAAAAATAATGAAGAAACGCGTTCTGGCATTAGCAAGCAATACAGTGAATTTATTTATATTGCTTAAATATAGCTTAATTAAGCATATTGCTTAAAAGTAGGCTGTAAAAATTGAGTATATTTTTTTTAAATTATATAAATTTTTTTCGTACATGTGGAAAAAACATCAACGATACTTGAAGAATAATCACGATTATTCTTCACTTATTTGAAAGAGAACATCGAGACCAATAAGAACTTACAAATTATACATGTAATAAGAAGCTGCTATATAATTATACAAAATAAACCTCATATGGACGTTCGCCGGTATGTGTACGTATGTGATTACGTAATTTATTCTTCTCCACGCTTGCATAATCACATATAGTACACTTATATGGCTTTTCATGCGTGTGTTTATAGCGTGTATGACGCACCAACTCACCTGAAGGCAAAATCAAAGAGAAAACAAGATAAAATATACCTGATAAGGTCGCTCCCCTGTATGACATCTAATATGTCTCTTGAGTTTTGACAGCTCGACTGACGCATAATCGCACTCATGACATTTGTGCGGTTTTTCATGGGTGTGTCTGTACCGAACATGTCTCACAAGTTCACCTGCAAGCAAACATTTTTTATCATTCTTATTTTTGCAAGTAATAAGATTAATTTGATTAAATTATGGATTTTTAACATATTACTTTGGGAAGAAAGTGATACAAAATATTTAAATACACATATATTCAACTTGTGTGTGTATATATATATATATATATATATATATAAAATCTAGTCAAGTAATGTGAAATGCAAAATGTGTTATATCTACTTTTACATTTCTTATGTTAGTGTTAACATATTAAATAAGATCAATATTTTTGTATATATTCATTTTTATACACCCAAATAGATCAAAGTATTGTTCATATTAATATTACTCGAATAAAGTATTGTTCATATTAATATTACTCGAAATAGTAGTACTTAATACATATCACGATTATAAGCACATTTTTAAGTACATACTGTTGGCACAAAATACTGTTACATATTTTATAACTTTTTCGTCGTACAATATAGGATGATTACAAAAATCATTACATAAATAGATAAAAATTATAATATTTGTAAAAATCATTTCATCAATAATAGTGCATAAAGAAAAATTAAGAAAATTTAAGCAAACAGAATACATCAAAAATATAAAGGAAAATACATTACTGAACAAATGAGACATATAAAGACTAAACAGACTAAGTAATTAAAGCGAACAAAACTTATCAACATGTCGGTACATACAACACATACAATTATACAAATGACAATAGACACAAAAAATTAAATGTTTGATATAATATGCAACGAAAACCAATAAACTTTCAATTGGAATACTTTATATTCTATTTACATACTACATAATAATTTATATTTGGGATCTCTCGAGTTCAAATTTGTACAAAGGAATAGAAATTGTACACAATGTGCAATTCGATGTATATAAAATGTACATGAAAAAAAGTAATTAGCAGTTGATAATTTACCAGAAGTTGTGAATGCACTGTCACAGTATTTACAATGATGAGGCTTGGTCCCAGTATGTGTGTTGACATGATTCTGTAGCGAAGCCAAAGTTTTAAATCCTCTTTCACAAACACTACACTTATGTGGCCTTTCTTCCGAATGTGATTTCATATGCCGCGAGAGGAGATACCTGTTACATACATATTATCTATATAAGTTATATCATCTATAAGTCATTCGTCTTATTTTTATATTATTTTTATGAGGTAATTCCGTGCAAACAAATGCATGTAATAAGTACGTAACAAGTTCAAAGGTAATTTAGATTGACATAATGTATAAATATTAAGAAACATTGAAAACTATACCGTTTTGGGCTTGTGTAGTTACAGTAGTTGCACATGTGTGCCTGTGTGACTGTTTGAGATTTCTTTGGGAGGAATTTCATGACTTTAGTCTTATCATCTTCAGCTTCAGATTCCACTGGAGCTTCATTGTCCTCATTATCTTCAAAGTCATATACAGTCAAGTCCTGTTCGCCTTCACCTTCCTCTCCTTCTGCTGTTTCAGCCTCCGTAGATCTAGCTTCCTTATCTTCAGCTTCAGGTTGCTGAACTATCAGAACATAACTGACTTCCCCAGGATTTGTATCAGATGGTACAATTGTGACAGTTTGATATGCATCGCCAGAATTGATTACAACTTGATTGTTTTCATTGGTAGCCACTTGTGTCTGGAAATCAACACTTTCTGGTACTTAAGATGTACATTTTAAAGCTTTTGTACATTTTAAAGTACTACTAAATAAAAATTTTAACATTAACTCACCTCTTCCTCGCCTTCAACATTCTCAAGTTCTTCAATCTCATGATACTGATCATCCTGAGCTTCACCTTCAGTTTGCACATCAGTTTCTTCTACTTCCTGTATTTGCACTTGTGTCATTACAGGTGTTTCATCACTGTTAGCCTGGTAGTAATACTGCCCAGACTGATCTACAAAGTACGTCCCACCTTCTTCTCCACCTGACAATCCTTCCACTTGTTGCACTGTAGAAAAAGATCTATGTGAATAACATATTGCTCATTTTATATTAAATAGCCACGAAGAAACTTTACTAAAAACTCTAAGAGAAATCACTACAAACTCTAAAATACTAACACTGCACATGTTGTAGCTGTTCTCCCTGTCCACCTTCTATTTCCTTATTAAAGGTCTCCAAGTAAGTTTGTATCTCCGTGACAGACTCTTGCCCATCTTCAAGTTTTATAGTTGCTACATTACTCGTCATGATTGAAGCACACTCACCTCATGCAGCAATAGCTATATTCATCAATCTGTAACAGCAACATAATAAATACATTAGCAACATGTGATCAAAGCAAAACTTGGAAATATATTCTTAGACTACCGCTATAAATACAAATGATCACATTGACGTGTAACTTAGGATTACCAATTCTAAAAATAAATATAAAATTGGCAATGTTATAAAGTATGCACTGTGCGGGACGTGTAATGCACATCCGCCTGACAAATTTATCGTCATTGAAATACTATTTGTAAAACGCGATTTACGAAACGCAACGTGAAACACGATCCGTTAGAGTTCCCCGTGCATGTCGAGTTAATCGCGACATAATAGACAATAGAAACAAACCGCGTTGCATCAGCCTTCTACCTTTCATTCACCGGCGGCTACAAAAGCTTGCATACGCAAGAACGCCGTGAGTCTACATCGCGGCGAGAACACGAGCGCGTCTACAAAATAAATCGTTCCGATCATCGCTTAATCTTAATGCGCGGGTCAACACGCATGCCGCTGCTTTCTCGTCTCCCCAGGACGCACGTCGCACATCCGCGTCGCGTTACCGTCGCCGCACACGTCCACGGGCAATAGCAACACGAGCGAGACACGATCTCGACGATGAGGTACATCGGGCGAACCGCCGCCGCCGCCGCCGCGTCGGGCGGTATATGGGCTCGAAAATTAAAGAAAAAAAATCAATAACCCGGCGATTACGGCGGGTAAGAAACTCGCGCCGCTGCACGAGCCCGGGCCCGGCGTTTGCGGATCGTGTGAGCGACTGCGACGGCGACGGCGACGACGAGAAAGAGCAGCATCCCGGTTGGCCAAGTTGCTGCGACCGCGACACGCCAAGCTTCTCAGCGTCCCTCGGGGCGCGCGCGTCAATCAGGTGTGTGCGAGACCGTGAGAGGAGCGCGCGCGAGACGCGATCACATCCGACGACGTGGTGCGCCACAGCAGTGACGCGCGCTGTACGACGCGCGAAGCAGCCAGCGGGGCGCTGGGAGACGACGACGAGCAGCGGGCCAAGCGAGAGGCCATGAGGCGAGAGGCGTGCGCGTCGGCGTCGGCGTCGGCGTCGCCAGCAGCGAGATGGGCGGCCGGGCCGGGCAAGGCAAGGCGAGGCGAGGCGAGACAAAGCGCGAGGACGAGGTGCTGTCGAAAGTGCATGGAGACGAGACACGGGGGCGGGTACCTGGGGGGCCACCGTAATCGCGGACTCTCGCGGTACACGGCACGGGCCCTCGAGGTTGCGCATTCTGTCGGGGAGCTTTTAAGACAACGCGGGTGCTTTCGATTTCAGGACACAGGGGGCATTAACGACAAAAATTTCAGAAAATTATCACCGTCGGCGCTGTCATCAATATGGAGGACAGGAGCGACGACGATGCCGTGCCGTTCCGCCGCGTGCCGTTTGGTCGCGATCGATCAGCCTGGCCGTCCTGGGCCGTTCGGCCGGCGAGCCGTCGCGAAAACTTACTGTTTGTCACCGTACGAAGCAACTGCGCGTACAACGCGTGTCGACCAGCTCGCGCAAAGACTCGAAGTTTTCACTTACCTGGAGTAAACTCACGATCGTTCGCGTGAGGGCGTTGTGTAAGAGGCAATATGGCCGATCGAACTGCGAAGGTTCAAATGCTGCGCTGTGCTGCGCATTGCAGCTGCGCATTGCCACGCCGCGCGTCACTCGTGTGTTTACGCTGCGCGATAGCTGCCTCTGGTATTTCCGGGTCCCAAGTCCCGGACTGCCGTTGCTTATCCCGGTGTGAATCATGCCTTTGCGCCTCTTATTTGGAATTGGACTATATATTTGTATATATATAGAAATAGATATATATATATATACACGCACACACACACCACATTTATATATATATATATATATATGTATTCATTTTCACGCGAGCAATCCTGCGAGATAAATCGAGCATTATGCGCGATGCAGTGCTAACGATTTGACTCTCGAGCGAATATGTGCATACAGGATGTGGGCTGGAAAAAATGACGTCATGCAAAAAGAGCGGGAAATGTAAGGTCGTATGAAATAGAATGAGAAGTTATGCGGTTTGCAACCAATCACCTAGGAAATCAATTCTTACACGTATAAAATTGTTTCGATATCAATTCGTATAAATATTATCCAAATAATTGGTGAATAAATAAATAAATAAATAAATAATGTCGATCTTTAGAAGAACACAGAGAAAGGGTTAGCACAGAAAATCACATACACAAGAAGTTGATAAAACGACTTTTACGTTTATTAAACAAATGCTCACTGGCATGTAAAATATATATTTTATAAATCTTTGTATTTCTTCAAAACAATTTTTTTCTCTTCAATTGTACGTTATAGACAATACTTTTGTGTGACAGACCATATTATGTATCTTTTTTTCAAACTATGTATGTTGTTCAACTATAAAGCGATGTAACAAGCCATGCCAATTATTAAGTACAATAATGTTAAAAGTAAAATTGTATACAATCGAAAATATATACAAAATTTTTTTACCTATCTATACACACACGCGCGCGCGCGCATATACACACTAATTTGCATAAGAGTTTAATACAATCAGGAATAGTTTATAGAATATGTATAAAAGTTTACAAAAATAGCAATTTTAATGTTAATTTCACAGTACCATAAATACAATAGATTAATAATGCGCCTTTTTTATGTTATATGTTTACAAAACACGATGGTAACTTATTGGAAATATAATAGCAGTGTGTGTATGTGTGTGTGTGTGTACATATTTGGATAATAACAAAATATAAAACTAATTGTGGTAATACACATTTACAGATCATTGGAGAGAAAATACTTGATCGCATCGACCATCTAAGATATAAAATTTCACAAAAACATTCAAAATTTTTCTTACATACTAATGTTGCTGTTACAAACACATTTTTAAATACCGCGACCCATATGGCAGTCTTGTTGATACATCGCCTCTTTAATATCATTGTGCATATGATCTATTGATTCTTTGATATCATTTTTTAAAGTATAAAGCGTTGCCATTGTAATTAATATTATCGTTAACATACATATGAAAACCATATATTTTATTATTTCGATATTAGTATGCAGCTTCTTGTAAATATCTTCTATACGATCCATCTGCAATTGTCAATGCACCGATTAAATTTTTTTTTAACTATATACGCGTATAAATATCGCGTATAAATTCATAAGTATTTATTCAAATATAGATAAAAAAATGTAGATTTTCATACCTTAGAGAAAAATGTGTCAATATTACGATCATTTCCTGCTACACTAGAAGTTAATATTGACTGAGACTTTTGCATCTCATTGTTTTCAGTACCGTCACAACATTTCAATTTATGTTGTTCCGTTGGCTTTCCAGACTACAAAGGAAGCGCGAGTAATATTAGTAACTTTTTGATCTCATTTATAAATATATGAGAAGCGATCGAAAAGAATCGTTAATATATTTGTATCCAATGTAAAAATATAGAAGCTAATTTACCTTCCAAAGCGTATGCAGATCTGTTGCTGTAATGTCCGCATTCACAGGAAGGCACATGACTAGAAATCGATCATTGTGCAACAGACCACGTACATCATAGCCAGGTTGCAATACGACCATAATACTTTTTTGCTCAGAGGGTTGCAGAAGTCCTGAGCTTGGTCGTACTCTGAATTTTTCAGGAGACGTCGTCTTTATCTACAAATCATTATACTTGTATTATAATTCACAAATACGTGTATTTCTTCTAATATATGTTCTCCGATAAGCTTGCTTTAATACTCATAAATACATATATGCAATAAAGTAACATGACATATACCTTATAGGATAAAGTCTTGTCAGTTGTGATATTTTTTAATATAATCACTCCAGTGATTTCTTTTCCATCTTTATTAAATGTGATTGCATCAGGTTCTACAGATAATACTAGAACAAAGATAATTTATTAAACATTATATACATTCCTATCTTATTACAGTATATTTTCATGAATATAATCTGCTATAAATTTCATACTTACATTGTTCTTCATTAGTTGTTTGGTCTCCAAAACTAGTAGGACTTTGTTCCGTAAGTGGAGAACCTTCTACAAAATGCACCTAGAAAATAAATATGTTAGTCAAAAGAGAAAGAAGATAAATATTAATAGCTAAATAGATATGATAGTTTCAGCGTATTTCATGTTACTCAATCTTCTGTATGAATCAATATATTTAAAAAAAGAAAAACATCACAAAGAACAAATTAACAAGATTAAGTGTTTTGCTTCTAATTTACTCCTTATTGAGAAAAGTATTATAAGAGCAATGTGTGTAAAAGAAAAACAATAAATATGCTATAATGAAATTAATTTGTTTATATATACAAATAGAAAAATACTGCAACATCATTTGTCTTTTATGGTAGTAGTTACATAAAACTTCAGTCAAGGATATATTATATAATATATGTACCTTTTTATTATCTAGTTTACCATTTGATATATCTTCATTGGTTTGTACTTCTGGGATAAATATAAAGGTATAATCATTGTTACCACCCCAACATTTAAGAGCATCATTGGGATCCACAAACTCTTTTAATGTGGACTTGTTGACAAACTTAATTTTTGGAATTGCTTTAGCTGGTAACCATGATTTTATGATTTTAAAAGCTGCATTTAGGACCCACGGCATTTCAAAAATTATAATATAATTTAGGAAGTTTGGATAATAAGACTTGAATAAACCAATGAGATACTTGGTAAACTCCATATCCATATTAGAAAGTCCAGTTTCTGCCATATCAAAAAAGATAGATATTTGATTTCCATTGCCTTCTCTAAAAATGTAACAAAATAAAGGTTCAGGAATAGAGCATGATCATATCATAAATATATCAGTTGCATGTGTACTTGCTATCCTTGCAAAAAACTTAACAGATATAAACACTATACCTTTCTAATCTCTCAAACCAATAAACTATACATCTTTGAAGTTCTGAAAAATCTTTTACTCCCTTAAAATGTAACTTTGACTTGATTATAAAAAGTTTCTTGCCATCTTTATCTCTGCCATGACTAAAGCAGGATCCATCTTCTAAATATTCTCTCTTTACATTATCCTCGTTAATATCTACAATCAAATAATATACCAAAGATATTCCTTGCTTTATCCTAATTTATCAATATCAAAATATTATTCGAACTAATACAGATAGGTTGTCCAAAATATGACAAATATCTATGATAAAGACTACAACCACAAACGAAATAACTTTACCATTTGCTCCAATTTTTCTCCTCCAAATACAAGTTTCCCACAGCATATTGAATGCCTCTTGCGTATTGAATTCATGATGCTCTAGAAATCTTTTTAGCCAGTCATCGTTATTATTTATTCTGGCTATATCCGCAGGATGAAAACCTTCTGCAATGAATATTAATCAAGCGGTTATACAATTCACAAGGACACACAGCGCCATGTGTCGCAAATGGTGTTTCCATTTATATTTCGCAAGTTAATTGGTAAGCAATTAACATGAAGAAATTCAGCAAGTCCAGTTCTTCGTTACGTCAATTACGGTGTCAATTGTTTTCAATTGAATACGTGACGGACTAGTCAACGACGACCTTTGCACACACACATATACATACACGATACAATGTTGCAACACGTATCAACGGTAGTTTTTTTTAACACGATGATAAGTCATTTTCGAGACTTCAAAAAAATTGAATATTTCATATACCCACTGGGATCAGGTGAACCTTCGTCGCTTAATTTCTTGTGAAACTTCTCGCGAAGTTCCGCGATCGCCTTCGTTTGCGTTTCCATCGTCGAGTCGCGGTCGAACTGAGAGGCCTTCGCTTCTAAAATACTTTCAGCGGGTCCAAACTCTGAGCACTTTGACCGGCGTCGAGGATCTACCGTGATAACAAAATGATAATTGTTTATCCGCACGCCGGACCTGTGCGCGCCGCGGCGCGCATGCTGCTCGTAATTCCCCTCTAGTTTCCGACTGAAGCGGCTCCCGATAACATCGTTGGTCTGTTCTTTATAGCTGCACTGCTGAACTAGTGCAATAAGTTAGAATGAGAAAAAATATGGTTGTCTCATTTTAACTTATTGCACTAGTTCAGCAGTGCAGCCATAAAGAACAGACCCTGTGAACAATTAAACCCGATTAAACTCAATTTTCATGTGCCCGTGTACGAGCTGGAAATGTGTTGAGTATTGTATTATTAAGTTAAATTGCGAATTATAATGTAGCAAATATGTATATTACTCTGGTTTATGCTTTGTAACACAAATTTTTCATTCGGTATGATATATTTTGATAAGCGACGAAGAAATTATAATATTATTATAATTAAAAACTAGAGACTTCAAACTGCAAAATGCTTTTCGAACCACATCAATGGCGTCATTTTTAATGAAATGAGAGCCAGTTGGATTTTGTTCATTTTTCGGAGTACATACACTAAATGTTTGGTTTTTCATCGAGCAATACTACTTGATAAAAATAAAAGAACGGCTACTTCATTATTGAGTTATATCACGACTTCATCGAGGAAAGTGGCGGCTCGTAGCGGTAACTTTAGAACTAATTTATTTCTAGACCACTTATTTATTCCAAAAGAAACGAATGAACAAATTGTTAGACCCGTTATTTTTTTAAAAAGTATTTTGCAGCTTAAAATCTCTCCAGCCGTGTTAATACAATATTTTTTATTTTTCGCCAACATCGTACTAAATGAAAAATGGCAAAAATTGCTTAACTATCAGTATAAAAATCTACATGATAAAATTTGACAAACTTCATCGTATATATTATCATGCATCGGGTCTTGATTTATACTCATATAGCACTATAAAAACTAAGTAAATTTCATATTGAAAGATACATTTAAAACTTTGAACTGCAAAATATCTCTTATTATTATTGTTTTTGCGGAAAATATAGTCTGTTAAATATTTTATTTTTCCTTTTATTGAAAAAAATTTTAAATCTTCATTAAGATTTAAGATTATCATTTTTTTAGTTGTATAATACTAAATATTAGCAGCAACTTTCATGTCATTCCTATTAAAAAGAACTTTCTTTCATATTTAAATCATTACTTGAATCAGCTGTAAAAAGTCACATCTCTCTCTCTCTCTCTCGTAACCGTCAGCTGTTATTAGCTGTCAAAAGTCTAGGATTAAAGACTTGAATCCGTTGAAACACGCAGTATGTGCGTCGTCGCTAAGGAATTTATCTGTGCATTTCGCCTTGAATAATGTGATATATTACGATTATTTCTAAATCAAATATATGTTTAGTTAGTGACGTATGTTGATCGAGTATCTTTGGGCCACATAAAATAATAAGCTATCTACTGTCATTGGTGTTGCAACAGTTATTATTGATTATTGAAAATATCTATTGTCTGTAAATCGGTATGATAATTTTGATTTTTCAAACTATTAGTTTATTATTACGTTCGTTTGCAAAACAATAAACGCATCTCAAATGTGATACAACACATTTACTGAAACTTAACCTAAATATATTTGTTATTATTTATACTTTGTCATCATATTGTTTTTTCTTCTTGTTTTAGAGTTTGTAGGATAATAATACAAGATCAAACGAATATGGATGATGAAACATTGAACAGGTAGTTCTACAATTCTATGTTGTTTATATTTATAATGATTAGTAACTGTTATTGTGCCAAATATGATATGCCTATTATGATCAGATATGAAATTAGATTTATTAGATATATATATATATATATGTATATATATAAGAGACTTAACAGTAATTGCTCTTATGGAAGGGGGGTATTACTGTTTTTTATGAAATAATATTAATTGATTTATAAAATAGGTTTATCTTTTCTCAATGTAGTCTATCTTTTGCAACATCTATATTTGCAATATTTTTCTGTTCTGTTAGTATTTTTATTATATAAATGTATGTAATGATACATCACAGACTTGCAGTTGAAGCTTTATTGGAAGAAGCTAAACTAGGCGCAAGGAGAGCAGAAATAATGGGGCCCAGTGGATGGGTAAAGCCTAAAGAAACTGTTAACAAAAGATTCCTTCATTCGACATTACGAAATGCAGTGATATCTAATAAACATCGATCACTAAAACAAGAAAAAATGAAAGCTCAACCATTGAATAAGGTAGAGACTGTTAAAAAACCATAGGCTGTGACATGTTGTTCTTGTGTTTGCACTAATATGTATATTCTAAATATATATTTTAAAAATTTATTATTTTGTCTGATAACACACACATGTATAATATAAACACGCACATAAAAAAAACATGTATTGTTATTGATGTAAACGATCGTAATTTTATTTATTTTATTATTACACACTCATTGTTACAATTACAAGATTACATATTTTTGTAAAAATCCGGAAAAGATTTCTATATATAAATGTGTGCCAATTGAAGTACAGTATAAAATGAACTATAATTTCGTTAACAATATCGTATAAAAATATCTCAAACACTTTGCAGACATTTCACAGTTCTTATTGTTGTCAATAATTAAGCATTTCACATATGTGATATTTTCATTCTTGATCGAATAAACATACTTTACAGAGTTAAAAAAAAAAGTTGTTCCTTATAAATTCCCAGCGTAAAAAACGCTTTTATTTACAATGATTATAAAGATCCTTCTATTAGAAGTAACACATATAAAAGGTCATTGTACAATTTCACACTTAGTTCACAGTCGTTTACACAACTTTATGAAATGTACAAAGAAGAAATGAAGTATACAAAAGATATTCATATATATATTTCATCTTCTTGCATTTTTGTCTTGCATTTCTCAAACTAAGTCTCAAACTTAGTAAGGATTAATCGTAACAACACCAAGTAATAATAACAAGTTTTTTAAAAGCACCGTTATCTCTATATGTACCCTTAACAAATGTAGAGAATGTGGTCATACAGTTCTAACCTAAGTATAAAATCACTTACAATTAAAACATTTTGCATTGATAGGTTGCACATATCAGTTTATGGCATCGCTTAAAGTTTGCTTGAGAAATTAGATTGATCACAATTACACACCTGTGTCAAAAATTTCGTCAGATGTTACATGAGATTGATAGAAATTGATGACCTCGAGAATATTATCTCGTTTATCACCTCGAGAAATTCTTCAAAAATTCAAGGTTCAATAATTTCCTAAAATGAAATATATCGTATAAAATACTTAACTTTAAATTTTGAGACAATCTCTCGAAATGAATCTTCTAGGATTTGAAAGCATGTAATTGTCCTGAAAAGTAGCAATGCTAATTACTCAAATTATTAGAAATATACATTCTTGTCCTAAAGAATGTTATTTCGAAATCAATATAACAAAAGAATATTTTTAAAATATAACTTTGAATCATGATTTTTTTGACACAATGTATGTTCATCTACGAATCAAGATGTCTTCTCACACATTAAGGAGCAGGCGATACTTATTTATCACTTATACGTCGATATTTTCGGAGAACTTTTTCATCACTTCCATATGCGCAAGTTGCATTATAAGATCAATGCACTCTTACTTGATACTAAAATACGATACAAGATGTAGTTTGTATACATGAAATTATTAAACTGCAATTACACTTGCAATAGATGTTACAATGCAATGAATGTTACAATATGCTCATTTTATGATGATAAAAATCTTTTCTTTAAAATTTCCGCTTATTGGAAACATTCGTAAGACTTAATTTTGATAATATACTCTCTTTTATATCGCTTGCGTAAAAATTCTCAACAGTCTCTACAACTAATGAGATTTGTGAGTTACCTGTTTGATGTGATACGCTGTGATAGAATAAGTAGCTTTCACGAAATATTCTACAACAATATTCTTGATATTTAATAACGTAACTATAACAGATAATATTAGTTGGTGAGAATAAGGCAACTCTATAATTGATATATATCTCATTATTCACATAATATAGATTTAAATTCTTTTGTCTCATATAGACTTAAATTCTTTGTATAAATTTTAGTTTTATAATGAAACCTTATATGAATAACCAGACTTTTACGAAGGCGAATATTCTGGAATAATCTTTTACTTATGAGAATGTCTGATGATATTCCTATAACGATATTTTCAAAATTCTCACCAACAAATATCGTAGAAATAATTCATTCGTGTATATATTGCGGCATTGTTTATGATAAAAATTACATTTTAGTAAGTGACTATCTGTATAAGTTTTTTTTTAATTATGTAACATTAATATCAAATTGCAATATCTCAAATCTGCAATATTGTACAGCAAATAATGAAAATTTGATACTTGTACTTTTGTGCACGTTTTTGCTGTGCAATATTGATAAGTCACACATAAATTGTCCAAGTATAATTATCTAATAATAAAAATGCTAATCGATAATGATACGTGTATAACGAATGTGAAAATGACTCAGTAAAAATCTATTTCTATTCGCAATTGTCTACGCTGCATTTTGAATTTTGGGCCCGTTATTTTTCCATCTACCAAAATAATCTATATGAAAAACTATGGTATTAAATTATTTTCATGTAAATATATTAAATTATATTTACACTGTTTAATCTTTTTATATACCAGAAAGAAGTTATTTGGAGGTATAAATTCTGCCTTTACTATATAGCTTATAGTCACATTTTTGAAACTATCGCTGATTTCAAATAAGTTACGCAGATCCGTTCTTCTGATGTATTTTCTTCTTCTGCTCTAACAAGTCTTTCATATCAACAAGTGCTTTTTCTATCTCTTTCGCGAATCTGGCAGCATCCTGCAAATATTCAAGCACATTCATAATCAAGTATTGAATAATCAAATAACTGAGAATATAATCTAATGAATAGAATCTTTATTATAAATATAAAGTATCAGTAAAGTAAAAGCATAAAATACGGTGTGTAATAAAAATGAGGAAGAAAACGAACGTCAATAATCGATAGTTGTGCCAACAAAACGATTGGCTGTCTTACCGTTTTCGACGATGTTCGTTTGCTAGAGATATGGAAGAATAGAAGATTTTCTCCCGCGATTATATAAGAAACACCATAACCATCGTCGGCCACAGGACCGAATCCGCCACCCGCTGAAATGCAATTGGGATACTTCTTCAAATCCAGTCTCGAAGTTTGACCATGTGGAGTCTGCGATGTCGACAGTCTCCAAGGCTCGCTCAAGACTTCCTGGGACGCAAGCATTGAGAAACAAAACCATTTGTTAGAACCGTCAATTGGACGTTAAATGCATAATATAGTCGTACAGCCGGAATGACGGGGTACCTTCAAAAACGGTGAATCTACTTCTAAGTACTTTGATATTACGTATAGGCAGAACAGATGTCTGTCTATCCCTTTGCCGCACATCGCATCCTGGTAGGCTTTTTGATGTTGCATCACCGCGGCCATCAACAGTCTTATTTTTTCCTCCGTCTAAAGAAAGAAAACACGTTAAAGACACGTACAGAGAACGGTACTTTAATTTATTCAATTCTTACCGTCACTGTCTTGTCCTCCATCGACTTGACCCATTTAGCGGATTCGATGGTGCATGGTCTGACAGTTTCTGTTCTGCCCTCCCGGAACAATCTCGTCATCGAGGCTTCGTATGTCAAACTGAACTTGGAGGCGTCGCGGTAGTACGCCAGTTGCAATGCCATTTGTATAAAAGCGTCCGGCGATATGGAGTGAGTCTTCATCAAGCCTTTACCGTAGGCATCGTGCACGTAAATGCGCAGCTCGACGTCGTTCAGTAGATTACGCGCTACCTGTTGAATAATAAGTCAATTTACGCATTGCTGTTACACGTTGCTGAATATATCACGCTTAAATGACACAAGATTGTCATTATTATTACCTGGTAGGATTTTTCAATGGCTTCGATGCACTCGGCGCTCAAATCCCATTGCAGTCGAGTGGGTGCGGGAGGTGTAAACTCTGGAGTACCCACGTTGTGGCCGTTCTTGTACCTAGGTAACATGGTTTACTTTTCAACACGGCCGAGAGAGTATAAATTGACAGGTTTCTCTATGCTATATAGCCACACTTTATTTTTAAACTTAGATGTCCGATTTATGAAACGAGTTACGTTTTATCATGCAACTCTAATACGAGTAGAGAATATGTTTTATCACTCGTATTAATATTTATTTCGAGTGGACAATCTTTTCACGACACACTTACGAAGTGAATACGACAACAATTGCGCGTTAACATAACATTAGAAAGATATCAGAGAGTTTATCATGCGAAAGTGCTTGTAAGAGAAGAGAGGTTTATCACTGTGTACAACAAAGATTACAATACACTGTAGATTACACTGCAGATTACAATCAATTCAATCGCAGTACGATTGTGCAATAGATAAAAATTATATGTCTGTGTTAGGAATAACATTCTTACATCACTGACACACACAAATTATTACATATCACATGTATCATTTCTCTAATGTAACAGTGCAAAAGATTACCCAATCTCGTTATCAGTAGCCATAATATATTCCCATAGAGTTCCCATCACCGGTGCATCAGCCCTAATGAGCACATCAGAAAGAAACATTAAAGTGCGAGAAGAAACATGAAGAACACTCATTGGTGGAAAGTATCCAATAGAGGAACAGTAAATTAAACACCAGGAATTAGATTTAGGATATTGAGAAATACAGACATTGCACCAACATCCCACAGACCTTTAATGATAACTTTGCTGCAAGAGCACTCCGAAGTTCGAAAGATTTACTCGAAGGAAGCAACACTTATGCATTACAATCTGAGTTAGATTCACGGGAGTTCTTGGAGCGCAACAAGTCAGATAGAATAACGACCAAGTTATTTTTCGAAAACAGAAGAAAGATAGATATATAGTTTAAATAAATTATATGATTTCTTACTCTTCGTTGACGAATTCCGTGCTTATCACGTACTCCCACAAATGCGACATGACCGCAGCGTCTGCCCTGCTCATTACTTATCATTATATGTGGTGTTTTAATTGACACATAAAATATGCAATGGAACTGTCGTTTTATACATTATATGTTACTCGAAATCCAGGTCTGATTTTAATATTCGCTTTCTCTCTCTATTAGTCTCTATGTGAAGTAAGGGAGGGTGCATACGTATCACACTTTTGGGTAATAACAATAAAATGAAAAATTTTTGTAAAGAAAAAAAGTCAAAAATTTGTTTCCGAAATTTTACGTTACGTCCAATTAGGACGTGATACTCACCAAGAATGTTCCGCATTGAAACCAATCTGTGGGCAGGAATCGTTTTAATAAACTAACTTCATAAAACAATAAAAACAATACTAATCGATTCTAGTGCACGACTGCAGAGATATGTTACTTACTCTTCCATTATTTCCCACGCACAAAGTGAAGGATTTATCAAACCATCGGTCGTATCCTTTTCCGTGTAACAGAATTCTACCATAGTTGTCTAACTTCTCAGGATGCTCCTGTAACGCGGAATTACAATTTCATTATTTTGAAAATTCATTTACTCCACTCGACATACATATCTTTTCCACTGGGTGTGTACGTACTGGGTCGTATTCATAAGATACGTCATCCAAAGTGACTACGAACGCAGCCTTCTCGATTAAGTCCAAGGCAACTCTATTTACACCCTTCCCGAAGAACTCTTGCCTAGCTTGTGCCCAAGCGGCTCTATCGCCAGCCGTCAGAGCGGCCAATTTCTCTTCCCCAACTGACGGCGCTGATTGGTCATCCAGAATTTGTTGAATCTGACTGCGAGACGATATCGTTATAACATGTGCGTGCGACACGCGCGATACATGAGACGTAATAATGCCCAAAAACTCACACTTCTATTTCACAGGCTTGAAGAATCCTATTTCTATAGTAAATAAGAACTTTAAAGTATCTGCCCTTATGATATACTACGATATGTTTAGCATCCTGATAGTGCACGATTTTGTCGACCTCGATCCCTGGAATTCGCGTGGTGTTGAACAGTCTTTCGTACTGCCAAGAACACAACGGTACTAATCCTTGCACCAGAATCTGAAAGTAATCATATGTTTTTTTGAGTACAAGTCCTACTCGCAAGTTTGGATGTAACGATGACGAAAATGTTACGCCTACCGGCTCCAGTTCCTGACGTTCGATAAGTCGTCTGTATTGCAAGCAAGAGCATATAGCGGACGCGGCGCGCGCGGCTTGTAAGGTCGTAGGATACGTGAGGATAGCGTCGATCCCGTAGAAGTTGGAGTTGACCATCAGGGGCGACCTTCCGCGCAGGTAAACGTATTCCTCCCACCAGTCGGACACATAGTTGGTGGACCACCAGGACTTGAGGATCAAGTAACGCTGCAGTTTATTTCCAATGCCACTTTGGAACTCCTTGGCCAGCCTCTCCATGCGAGTGTAATTCTCATCATCCAATAACGGTCGTACGCTTCTCAAATACTATTTAAAGACACAATTCTTAAGTCCTTCACAATTAATAAGAGAACAATGAGAACAGTATGGAATATAGTGCACAGATAGCGAGAGCGAATTTATATGTACGGATAGAGTTACAATCGAAGCAAATGAGAAAGCTCTACGGCACAATCTGCGTGGATGAGAATAAGAGAAGAAAAAGCAAAAGCGTCGGTTTTAGGCGATGTTAGAAAATTGCTACAATACACACACTAACGCATTTTCGATAACGTAATTACGTTTGAGCTTTTAAAAAGAGAGAGAGAGAGAGAGAGCTGTCCTTTTCTCAAGATAGAACTGTACAAAGCATCTCAGTGAATCTAACCCGGGTCATGGTGTCGACTACGGACGGCAGCGGCAGTCGTGGCAGTGATCCTTGGAAACTGTACAGCATAGGCTTATGCCAGCCGGAGAATATCTTCACCAGTAGCAGCCAGACTCGCGTGAAGTTGGATATCTTGCGGCCTTTACCTCTCGCCTCGTACATCCACCCTTTGTACATGAGCAATACTTTCAGGATGTACCGAATCGCGTATATGACCGCCAGCCATAGGAACAGGCCGACCACGAACGATCCTGCCAGATGCGCAGGTACCGACGAACTGTCGCGGAAAAAAGAGAACAATGTGTGTCAACCGCAGAGAGATGAAGCGTCGATCGCGCGTAAATCGCAGCTAGTCTGCGATCGGCGATGACACAGTTGAAATTTACGCGCGGACTTACTCGGAGAGATATGGTGAAATTTTTCCAACGAGGTCATATGGGACCTTGAAGCCGGCGAAATGTATCGCCGTTACTGTAATCACAGTGATCCACAAGCTCTCCAAGGAAGCCGGATAAACGCCGCTCTTCAGGTTGTTCTGCAGATAATACGCGTTGAGTTGGAAGCCGATATCGACGTTGTGTTCTAAGCATTGTAGGATTCGAGCGTGCGACTCACCTGGAACCTGAAGAACCTCTTCTTCCAGGATCGCACACCGGACTGCCACACCAAGTGAAGTACTTCTCGGTCGAAGTTCACGTCCCATCCTTCGTGGGTTATAGAAAAACTGAATGCTACGGCCGAATGGGCTTCCGCCATCCTTCGTCAGCCTTCCTGCGAGAATTGCAAAAATACATCAAGCATGTACTTTTTACACTGGCGCGAGAAAGTGCCGAACGTTGAGAATGTGGCATTGATTCAATCGAGCGCAGTCGCTTCGACAGATTTAATCTTGACCGTCGTTATTAATTAAAACGCTCAATAATCGCCAATGTTCAGCGACGATCGATAAGTGGCCAATGGTTGTGCGCGAACGTGGTTTCTCCTTGAACCGCACAAGCAACTCCGCAACTGTGTGCATATAGCATACATATACGATGAAAAAGTACCGCTTGAATTAACCGAAACCGGATCTCAATTGAGGGAAAACGATCTCTTGTTTCTTAGAAGCGAGTTTGCTCTATCAGCTCTATCAGCGCAGAAATCACAATGGCTCTTTGCTTCGTTGGTTGTCACGTTGACTCAAGCGATCTTCGAAATTTAAGGACTAACGATTAACGAGCGATTAGAGTCTGAAATATCTGGAAGAGATTGTCCGCGTCAAACGAACGAACAAGTCGCGCTCGATCGTCCAGGAAAAAAAGGAGAGACAGCTCGTGACGAAGACGAACTGCAACGTGCTCGCTCCGCAGCAGGCAGCGACACTGGGCGAGCGCAGATACAGCAGTTGACCTTACTTAAAGTCACAATTGCGGTGCGCACGATGCGTGCGTGCACGCATCGTCGGATCGTGCCACAAGCTGGTAAAATCATATTGGCCGCGAGTTCGATGCGCCTTTAAACTCGCGGCAGGTGATGTAATTCCGCGTGGTCGAGCACCGAATTCGAGTTTCAAAAGAATGAGCCAATGAGGGAGAGACGGCACTGTCCGCGCGCGCTGTTGTCACCTAGAGCTTTTCACCGTGGGTTTTCGTCAGTATTTCCTCAGCTACCATCGAGGTACGTCTCGCAATCAGACTCGAGCGATTTTCTGCTTTTAATAATGACGCGCTCTTAACAGCCCCGACGCGCCTAATTTAACGCGCTCGAGATTCTACTTCGTGTTCCATGTTCCACATATTTTTTTTTCCCTGTTTCTCACATATTTTTTAATTAACTGATTAATCTTGCACGGTTTAGCCAAAAAATAACGTAGAAAATATTAATCTAAGGATATAATCGACAGACAGCGTTTCTTCATCGTCTGACAGAAGCAAAATATACGAATTACGAGGGTAGTCCCAGAAGTACCTGACCTAACAAAGAAAACACAAAAAATTTGGGAAAAAATATCTTTATTTCTCTACATAGTCTCCTCATAGCTCAATACACTTTTCCCCAGCGATGTTCAATAGTTTCGATACCCTGTTTATAGTGGGAATCGTCGAGCTCCTCAAAATAGCCATCAAGCCAGCTTGGTCCATTGTTTTGACTGTTCTCCTTCGTCTCAGGTGTGAAGTGATGGACCCATGTTTCATCCATGGTTATAAATCGACGCAAAAACTCGGCTTTATTGCTGCGAAACTTCGCCAAACACTCGATTGAAACATCCTCACGACGCTGTTTCTGTTCCAATCGCGGCACCCATCTTGCGCACAGCTTTCTCATATCCAAATTTTCAGTCAATATGCGATGTACAGCACTTTTTGAAACGCCTACCATGTCTGCTAACTCGCGCACTTTTAGTCGACGGTCATCCAATACCATTTTGTGGATTTTCTTCACCATTTCTGGCGTGGTCACCTCATTTCGTCAACCACTGCGATGTTTGTCTTGGCAGCTCGTACGGCTCGTCGTTTAAACTCTGCCACCCAATATTTTACTGTTGTAAACGAAGGAGCAGACTCCCCCAGAGTAGAATCTAGCTCCGCTTTGATGATTGGTTGGACCGAGGCCTTTCAAATGAAAGTATTGTATCACATAACGATGACCAATTTTTTCCATGTTTACAAATTCACTGAGAGCGTTCACTATTGATGGCTGCCAAACAAATACTAAACAACGTAGCGTCGTCAAACTTCAAACTTAAACTTTATAAGGTTGCTACTTTCTACCATAGTCATTCTTTTCAAACAACAACCGCTATCTATACGTCAGGTCAGGTACTTCTGAGACTACCCTCGTAGTTTGTCTCCCAGATTTTTTATCTTTCATCTTACATTGCTTCTCGACATCAAGACATGCAATTTGTGCCAAGTTATACAAAGCCAATTACAAGCCAATTAGAAGCATTATCCGACTACATTACGTTTTTCCGTATAGGTCATTAAATGAAATTTAAATTCGTTTGATTAGGTTACGTTTCCGCTACAGCCTTCGGACAATAACACTTTCGAGGATAACAAGTCAGTAGCGTAAAACATACGTCACAAGAAATACCACGAGGAATTTAATATATATACTTTAAAGTTAACTTTGTTTTAAAATGAGATATGTTTTTTTCAAGAAAGGTACATTTTTTATTAACACGACAGGATTATATCGTGAGGCAAAATTTATGCGACGTGTTGCGATAAAAGGACAAAAGCTCATTCAAGCTCCTCTGGTGAAGATTTCGACGATATTTACACGCGAATTCGACGGCTGTTGCAAAGTGAAAGTTTCACGTGAAACTTCACGCGGGGGACGCGAGACGTCAAATTGAAATTAGATGATGTTACGTCGTGTTAAACGACGAAACGAATGCGAATAACGCACATATCCTCACCCAAATAATAATTTCGGCCTTTGGGTGCACGCCGTTACGAGGACGACGAATTACCGAAGCACGGCGTAGAAAGTCCGTCCGCGCGTTTCACTTGATTTCCACTCTCATCACGAGCGAGAGAAGAGGAGCATCGGGAGAACGGCGACCGGGCGGAGACCGATATAATGCAATCGTAATTAATTAACGTCGACACATCGTGACAACCGTCAGCGCGAGTCGCGCCAAAGTATTCGCGTGTGTGCCACTTTATCAAGGAGAAAAGCGATCGGTGATAACTCGCGCGCGGGAGATGCACGCAAAATGCTGCTCGCACTTTCCAATTCATGTATGTGTATTTTTCAACCTTTTAGCGAGAGAGAGAGAGAGAGAGCGAGCACGATAGATAGCCGATCCCTCGACCGAGAGGGCCCCTCCGTTAATTTCACCGCGAAGTCAGTCGATTAACTGACTGATTGTCGCACATGTGTCGCGTAATTCTCTCATGGGGAATTTCCACGTACAGAAGTACGTGGAAATAAGATAATGTCTTTCGCTGCTGCAAGTTATTTATCATTGTTTCCAGGAGATTAAAAAATTGACCAATTTGATTAAATAATTTACTTGTTTTCTGACACTGAGAATTTCGGTAGAATTTGGGAAATCGATGGGAATAAGAAAGGAATAGTAAGTTCTGTGTTCTCTAATTAATTTTTGTACGCGATCGTAATTGAGATCAGAGAAACTCAATGATGTCACGTAAAAGTACAAGTCAATCGGATAAATGTCATTAATTAAGGGTCGTACGTTAAGCGGCACTTTGCGCCGCGCTTGCAACCGTCTTGATAAGTGAATAATTTTCCAATCCAACGATCTCGACAGATCCGGTAACGCGTGGATGTCGGGAATTCTTGACCACCAAGTGTGCCCGTGTCGATGATTGGCGGCCAACGACTGGCAAGTGGTATTCATACCTTGTCCTTCTGCCGATTGTTTCGGTACTCTCGCGAGTACTCGGTACGTATCGCGAATCTTTCCGTCACCGAGTCATTGTGTCCCGAGCCGACGAGCCATGCACATGCCGCGAGGCGGAGCACGTGCATCAGTGCGTTGTTGACAGTTTCCGTGATCGGAACATCTCGTCGAGTCATCATAGCGAGTGACAGTGCCATTCGGAAAGATCGCCGGACGTCGCGAATCCGAAAGAATTTCCGATAAAAAGTATTCGTGTCGTGACAGAGAATAAAACAGGAAACTGGGATTAATCTGAATTGAATCCAAAGTCGAAAGCTGCAGGAGCAGATTTACCTCTTATATTGAATTCGTAATTCGATTTGATTTTATCCTAGTGCAGGACCTTGCTCTAAAAAAAAAAAAAAGAAAAGCTCGACTGTGTGGACACGCATTGTGGAATTTCAAGGGCACTATAAAGTGCGCGATAAACGAAGGAAAGAACTGAACTTGAAAACAGATATTATTCACAGATAATTATTCACTTCTTATCTGGCTGTTATTTATGATAATTAAAAGTTAGCCAGCTAAGACCGAACTTGTACGCATTCTTCTACTTTTCCTGTACTTCTCCTGTACGACTCGTTTTCCGGGGTTGCATCTTAAAAGTGTGTTTTCCTATGAGAGTCTTATCTCTCCGTCCGTGCTTTACGTCTTGAAAACCTGTTTTATTCCCGGTCGTTTGAAATACATTACAGACCGCAGCGGAAAAAGAACTTTCAAATTTAGAACAGATTACTTCGCATCCGTAAAAAAATGTTTGAAATAATTTAATATAAATAGCTGAGTTTACCAGTGCAATGTGCATGTGATATACGCGACGCACATTTACGTTTGATTATGCGCGAGCGTCTTTATCGCGGAACATGTTTATTTATATCCCGGAAAGTATTTTTCCACGAGGGAAAACTCCGCGCGATATCCGTTTCGTGTGGCAATATTTCGGTGAGAAACCGGCTTTTCTCTCGTCCGTCCCGATCGGGAGACGCTCCGATTTATAGCAGAGTCGTTCTCCGCTCCTGGTTTGTCATCGCCGTGCAATCTACAGGTAATAAGCGTTCCCGGTTGATCGTGTCATCAGTAACCTTGGACTTTGCACGGCGACTCGTCTGGCTGGAAGGGTTACGATAAATTTAGCGGATAATCGCAACGATCTCTCAACACATTCCGGTCTACCGCGTTGCAACATAGACAACGTCGCTGAACGTGAAAAACGTATCACTCGACCACTTAATCGTTCAGATAACAGATACAGCCTGGCCGATAATCCACCGGTTCTTTTATTATCGGACCTGTGATAGTCCGTGCGTACGCGTTCGTTTTATAAGTGTGATTGAACTCGATGATTCTGATGCGGCTCAATCGCTTGAAATTCTACGGA